GTCTGAAACTGTGTGCCCCTCACACTTTTTGACCCAGCCTATACAGATTGTTTTCCCTCACTTCATCCAAAAGCACCCAATTCAGTTGCTGTCTGTCATCTGTTCCCCACACATTCGCCTGACCTCAGCACCGCGGGGCTGGCTGCCCTCCAGAACCTCATCCTGGAAGCAGCTGTCCTCACAAGGAGAGAGGAGCTTGATTCATCTGTAAATATTATCAGTGAGTGGGACTCAATGTCACCATGGGGTCAAAGCTCACGGAAAGTGTGACATGATGACATTCTGAAAAACATTTAACTTACCAGGAAGTACTGTGCATCTATAGTGACAGGAACCTGAAAGTGAGTCGGTGTGTATTGGAATCCTTACCCCACTGTCTTCCTAGCTAACTGCTACCAACACAGCCTTAAGATATGAGTTATGTTGCCTGGAGCATTTCAATGAACTCCTTGAAGAGCCTGACTCTATAGCACTTTTTTAAGTACTTCACATATACAAGGCTAGGCTGGACCCCTGAAGGACAGAGAGTAACAAATTATTAGGAGACACATGCTCAGAAGGTTTGCTTCCCAATAGAACTATTTTGGCAAATTCCAGTTTCAACACAGGCGAGCACGCTGAACATGTCATAATGAAAATTGAAAGTAATGGGCACCAGGGAGAGGATGGATTATTTATTGTCAGTGGGAAGGTTTACGCAAGAAGTGACGACTGAAATAAAATGCAGAGAAATTCTATCACTACTTCGCTTGTTAGTGTCTGAGATGTGGACTTCAGAGCCATAGGAAAAAGATAATATAATTAGTGAGAAGTTAATATGAAAGCGGGATAAGAAAGTTCATATAGAGTTCATATTGGGGAACTGAGTGGCTATAAAAGAGGCCATCCTGAAGGGGATGTAGAAAATAATTTGATAGACTAGGTTGGAGAGCTATGCACTAAAGACCAATGAGAAACATGGTCCAAAGAGAAGAGGGTCCCAAGGTCTGTAACCACTCTTGGAGTAGTAAACCTCTCCTCTAATCCTGATGGCAGGGGCTGGTTGGACCACAAAGGTTCTGTTGACACACTACTTGCTGACTTGCATTAAACTTTCAGTGTCTACATTTCTGTATGCAGCACTGAGTAATCATTTGCCCTTTCTAACCCCAGTGCACTCTTTTGTAAAAAGAGAGGTGTAGAACAAGTCTTCATAAACTTTATCACACAGACCCTAAGTGTAAAAAAATATATATATACATAGAAACCAAGCAGGATTGGAAGCAAAAGACAAATTTATCTAAAAATATTTTTGGGATACATAAATGCTCATTAAAGACAACAGCAAATTTAGGCACAAATGGAACATTTGTGCTTATTTCATGAATTACATCTTGGCTGATTATTTGACACCACAGCATGTGGAACAATTACAACACTCTTTAGAGTTGATCGATATTTTGACTTTATAAGTGTCAGTGTTGAGAATGATAGTTTTTATGCACATGTAGTACAAAATAAAAAAGGCTTAGCCTTATATCAGAAATGGTTAGAAATTCTTCCCAACTCCTAAGCAAAAATTTATTCAAGGATTGTCAAAATGAGAGTCAAGAAGGTAACTTAAACAAAAACTTAAAACCAAACATTCTAAAACAATAAAATTCAAAGATAGAGTGCTTTAATACTTACTCACTAAGGAATGTTAATAGGAATATATTAATTTTTTTTAATTAAACCATTATGTTTCTGTGAGAGCCCCACTATGTAGGCATGGATGGACTGGAGGTCACCTCAAACTCCTGTTCCCTGAGTGATGGGATTCAAGGCATATTCCACCATGTTTGGCTGAATTGAGGTCCTCAAGAAAGGTTAATAGTGTTATAGTAAATAAAATGGAGGAACCATTTCAAACACAGTGAATAAAAATCCAAATGACAGACAGAGTATAAATTTTTAAAGTAACAAGCACAAGCAGTATTCTCTTTTATTTTTAAATATTCTTTGTTACCAGTTTGTTATCAGTACGTGATGGTAAGAATCTGAGTTAGAGTTTAGAGAATTCATAGGGAGTTTGCAATTATTTAGACTGGCATATATAATAACCCAAGAAATATTGTTTGCCAAGTATGAGGTATGTACTGCTTTAGGTATGAGGGACATGGCAAGGAACAAGAAAAGGAAACAAGAGTATTGACAGGGCCCTGGCCTTTGTAGATCCTGTTTTATGTGATTGGCCATAGAGCGAGGGGAACTCTGAACAAAGAAAAACAGCACCAAGAAAACTATCTCATGATGAAAAAACCTGGCTGATGAGACAAGGTGGCCTGAGACGGAAAGAAAGTCTGCCCTATAGAGCTCACACTTCATCAGAGAACTTGGTGATTTGTGGAGCGAGCAACACCTATGGGGAGGACAGGATCACTACAGGGAAAGGAAGGAGATATTGGACCGGCCCAGGGGTCTGCTGTTGTCTGGATGTGTTTCAGTAATTGAGGGCAGCAGCCTGCCAAGAGCATAGTGGACTGTGGAGGGGAGGCTGTCAGAGACCAGATGAGGATATATGTTCTATTTCAGCAAGGCTACAACTTGAGACACTCATTCATAATCTCCTCTTGGCTTTGTTAAATCTTGATAGCCCAGTATAGCCTTTAGAGGAGAAATAATAAAATTACAGTCACTTATTTTGCCTTTGGTTTTTATATCATGACTGGGGAAAGGGAAAACTCGCAGTTTTTTTTTTTTCAAAGGAGATAATTGGGGTTCTTGCTCAAGGTCGCACAGTCTGTAAATGGCACAGCTAGGATTCAAATCAGGCCTTAGGAGTCCAGGACCGGAGCTCCATAGGGAGTGTCATTGTCCTTATGTAATCTCCAGAGAATAAGTTTGCTGACCTCTTAGGTAGTGTCACTGTCCTTATGTAACCTCCAGAGAATAAATAGGTAACATCTTATAAGAAGCCCGGCAGGAAAAGCTGTACCTGGGCTGAATGTTTTATAGTCCTCATTCAAGGCTCCCAAGTCCTCCTCCTTTACTGGCATGAGGGTTTCTGGTAGAGCACAGGAGCCTGTGCCTTCTGTGGAGAAACGCTCTAGTGTGGCATGCTTATCAGCGCTTTTATTTTATAGCAAGAGTTGACTTTCCACCAACTTTGTGTATCTGGACTGAATGGAATATGGTATAAGACATTTTAAAACGAACACGAAATGTGGTAAACAAGCTGGCATTTACTCATGGACACTAGCTGTATCAGCAGTTTCTGCACTTTGCCCCTCCATTAAATTAACTGCCAGGCTGGGACCATTAAAACTCATTACTTTCTCCTCAATTATAGTCAGGCCAACTCTAGATTTTCTAAGGCTCTCTCTTAGAATCCTTCTCAGAAAGGACTGGGAGTTCCCTTTCACTGTGGCCCTTCCTTGCTGTTTCTATTGTCAGGTCTCTCTGTTTTTGTAATTTTTGTCTCTGAATATGCCTATCTGAAAGCCAGATCTCTGTTGATGATGCATTCCCAAATCTTAGTATTTGCATCCGCGAGAGCCCTAGAAATAGAGACATATTGTACTCCTCACAGAAAGCAGCATTTGTTGCTTGCTTGGGGGCTTTCTGATTGATGCAAGGGGGCGAGGAAAGAGTTGGCTGTGGTTAGGGAGCAGATTTAGAGCGGCTTCTCATTGGAGGGGCTCGCATTCTGTAAGCTGCCAGACACTGCGGGCTCAACCAAGGCGCGGAGGTGCAATTCAGGCTGGTGGATCAGCGGGGGAAGGCAAGGACAGGCGGGGCTAGCGCGGCTCTGCAGCTGATCACACGCACCAGCACACACACCTCATCCCCGCTGTCTCTGCTTGAGCCTCGCATCCTCCATCCACGGGGCAGCTAAAGCGCGAATGTGGAATAGGAGAAACAGGAAATGAAGACTCAAATTTTCCTATTGCGAGACACTGGAAAAGCTGGAGCAACGCCAGTGTTTAACCTGAAAGTCTGACCTCGGTTAAGCAGTCCCTCTGTCTCCTGGAAAGAGGGCATCGCGCGCGTCAAGGAACCCCAGAGTCGGGCATCCAAGTCAGTCTCTGCTTGGAGCACCAGGGTCTCCTGCCTGAGACTCTGTAGTGCCCCCAGGGGGTGCGGAGACTGAGGGACCTGCATTGGCTCTCACCGTGGAATACCAGGAAAAGTAGGCAAGGGTCAGGCAGCCCTGAGCGCAGGGTGCTTTGCTGGACTGCCTCGGTTTCTTGCGGCGGCTCTGTCTGTCCTCTGCTGCTGGGTGAGTGTCCCGGCTTCCAGCGCTCCCCGGAGCACCGGGGTGGCTTGGCAGCCCCCGAGGTTTCACACGAAAGCCCTGGTGGCACACGCGCGTGGAAACTCGTCCGCCCGCGCACGGCAGGAGTACAGGTCTCTGGAGTCCCGGGCGGGGGATTCTGAGCCAGCCGAGCGTGGGTAGGGGGCGTTGCACCACTGCCTAGCCGATATGCCTCTGGGCGGGATTTTGGCAAAAAGATAGGAGGTGGGAGTGACAAGGAAGCCAGGAGCACTCCTGGGGGGTGACTGATCAGGGTGCAGCTGGGAGGGGGGAGGGTCTGGTCCAAGCAGGTAGTGCAGCTTAGCAGCTTGGGGAGTTGGCAGGTGGGGTGGGACTTGCTTGTCAAACTCGTTCATTTTCAGCAGCCAGTTCAGAGGTGTTGCAGATAGTCGGGGTTGGGTGCCCTGGAAAGGTAAGAGGTGACTCGGGATGCCGGTGGTGGGGGGAGCAAAGAGGAGCCTCAAAGAGCTTGGAGACAAAATTTCTCTTGGGTTCTTACACCTTGCATCCCTCCTGCCTTGAGTGTGGGAGAACACTTCTGTTTTAACACTGCTCTTGGAAAGAAAGCCTCTGTCCCAGGGGAGCAGAAGCGTCTGCAGGGGCAGAGTCTGCTGCTACCTGCAGGGTGCTCCCCAACCCCCCACCCAGGCGCCTGCTTTCGTCCCCTCCCCTCCTGCTTTCGTCCCCTGCCCCCACCTCCTTATTGGTGCTGGTTTGCAGCGCTTGGCTCCTGTGCCTCCGCTTCGTGTTTGAATCTGGCTCGCCCCTCCGTATTATGTCTGCACTCCGAAGGAAATTTGGGGACGATTATCAGGTAGTGACCACTTCGTCGAGCGGCTCGGGCTTGCAACCCCAGGGGCCAGGGCAGGGCCCGCAGCAGCAGCTTGTACCCAAGAAGAAGCGGCAGCGGTTCGTGGACAAGAACGGCCGGTGCAATGTGCAGCACGGTAACCTGGGCAGCGAGACCAGTCGCTACCTCTCGGACCTCTTCACCACTCTGGTGGACCTCAAGTGGCGTTGGAACCTCTTCATCTTCATCCTCACCTACACCGTGGCCTGGCTCTTCATGGCGTCCATGTGGTGGGTGATCGCTTACACCCGGGGCGACCTGAACAAAGCCCACGTCGGCAACTACACTCCCTGTGTGGCCAATGTCTACAACTTCCCCTCTGCCTTCCTCTTCTTCATCGAGACCGAGGCCACCATTGGTTATGGCTACCGCTACATCACCGACAAGTGCCCCGAGGGCATCATCCTCTTCCTCTTCCAGTCCATCCTGGGATCCATCGTGGACGCTTTCCTCATTGGCTGCATGTTCATTAAGATGTCCCAGCCCAAGAAGCGCGCTGAGACCCTCATGTTTAGCGAGCATGCGGTGATCTCCATGAGGGACGGAAAACTCACTCTCATGTTCCGGGTGGGCAACCTGCGCAATAGCCACATGGTATCCGCGCAGATCCGCTGCAAGCTGCTCAAGGTAAGTGTAACCCTCCCCTTCTCCACCAAGAATAAGCTTCTCAGAAAACCCCAGGCTCCACTCTGCCCTCTCCTAGGTTTTTCCTTCTACCACAGGTAAACTTCTTGGGAACAAGGAGGCGTGAAAGAGACCTGGGGATTGGATAGAGGACATAGTTGTCAGTTTTGTTTTTGCCCCTACTTTGGCGCTTTTGTTTATGTTCCTCCCCTAGATGCACTGATACCCACCTTGATGGTGATGTTTAGTGCTGTGAACTCTTGGAGCTTTGAGGGAAGTAGGTGCCCTGCTTTCCTGATGCTGCTGTGTCCTGAGAGCTCCTTTGGTTTGGTGTCAATTCATTACTCCCCTAAACTTGAGGCACTAAAGCTTCTATTTTGAAGAATTGGCTGTTGAAGTTTCCTTAACTTTAGTTTTGGAGATGTTTTTGGTGTAACCCCCTGCCAATAACACCACCAGGTGCATTGCTTCCTAGGACTCAGTAATTTAACTGTGGTCATCTTTTAAGCAAACACACAGATCCAAGCAGCTGTTAGAAAAGTAGAAGATGCCATATCTGTTTCTTTACAATTGTTATTTTTACTAAATATATTTCTTGAGAAATATTCCGTGAAAGCTAGAGAGCTTCAGTGTAGTCTCTTGTTAATTTGATTTTTAATTGCCTGTTTCTATGAAGCCTTTGTCAGTTATAGATTTTACTTGAAGCTTTTCAGCATCCATTAAAGACGACTGCTTCCTAACATTGTGTTGTGAATGCTAACGCAAACAGCTTATAGAGTCCTTGTTAAGGTCCTTGTTGCCCTTGGAAGACACCACCACAAACAAGAAGGGCTCTAGTTATTTGTCAGGTAGAATCTGAGGAGAAGGCATCAAAGTCTAGTTCTCACAGTCTACAGGTGTTCTTTCTTTCTTTCTTTTTTCTTTCTTTCTTTCTTTCTTTCTTTCTTTCTTTCTTTCTTTCTTTCTTTCTTCCTGAGAGATTTTCCAGAGTGATTTTTAAATGTTCATAAATTTAAAAAGACAACCTCTAATGAATAGTTTATTATTGACAAAGAGTGAACTAAGATTATATAAAGAAGCACAGCCAGGTTCAGGACTTAGAGGTAATAAAATGACTGATAACCGAGTTGAGGGAAAATTTTGTCTTTGAAAATTCAATTTGCACCATTTAACTGTATCTGATTTTATACAGCTCCAGCTTACTATGCAGTTAAGTTTTCTCCCAGTATAATACAAAAAAAAATTGTTTGCTCTTATGTCACTTCCATTATCACTGATAAAATTTCTTCCTAATTATTCTTGACCAAGTTGCCCAATGCAGCGCTTGAATTAACTTGCCCTGTCGCTTTTCATCACATGAGTATTTCCTATGCCATGTTAGTAAATAAATGACATTTTTGATAATATGGTGTAAAATTTCCAGCCTGCTTCTGGTGTATATTTTCATAAGGATAACTAGGATTATGTAATTTTAATTGACAAGTTTTAAATAACACACTTTAGTTGCACAGCATTGATCTATTTTAAGGTAACATTGTGTTTTATTGATATCTGTTTAAATTAAGTGGCTTGGTAGAGCTAAGTAAATGGATGAGTTGCAGATGTGCTTACGGCAGTGGTGCCGGTGTGTGCTCTTTACTGTGTGTGCAGTGAACTCTTCCTCTGCCTCATTCAAATGGCCTAGTGTGCACGTTGAATGTTCTAACAGTGCTATAGCCTGTGGCAAGGAATCAGTGTGCAGCTATCACTTTGAAACTTTCATTAAGAATAGTTTATCCTATGCATAAGAGTTCAAGTTATTATCATTCTTTAAGTTTTTAAACCAAATAAAGCTGACATTTTTACATGCAACTTATCTTAGATGTTTTAAACATTGCCAAATTTTATTTTGATAAGTTAAGAATACAATTAAAAGATGACTGATACAGATGTGTACAATGAATTTGAGGTTCTTCATCGGTATAGTGGTGCATATGCCCATAGTGATTTTTCTATATAATGCTATGTACCACATTTACAAGAACAGTATCTTGAATTAAGAAATAAAATTTTATAATGTTGGAGCAGGTGCTATATTGATACAAGGTGATAAAAAAACAATATCAGATTGAAATATTAGAGTACTAGTGATGTACTTACTATCTTATGTTCTATTAGGAAGACATTTGGAGTTCACAATTATCTGATGGAAATGATTTTAACTTTTCTATTTAGTTTCAATTTTACTTTTCACTTACATGAAGGAAATTTGCATTTAAATGCCACCCCTCAATTTTCTATCTGAAAACACTAATGTTCCTCTGATTAATCATGGTCATGTCTCCTAACTTTAAGACTAGAGAGGTCAGTATTTTTTTACAAATTAAATCAAAAGTGAAGGGTATAATTTGAAGTTATTTTAAATGTCTAAAATCTAAGGAAGTATAAATACTCCTCTATAAACCCATTTTAAAGTAGATATTCTTATTAATTTCCCTCTTATCATGAAACTAATATTAACTTAGTCTTAAATTTTATTTTAGTTGTCTTTCTATCAACCTAAGGAATAGAGATTAATTAATAGCATGGATAGATTAATTTAATGTATTCTCCTTGAGCAGTTTTGATGAAAGTGCCTGGACTGGGTAGTTGAAAGCTCTGTGGCCAAGGAGTGGAGAGTAATACCTCCACTTCTCAAGCAAATGCAAAACTCACATACCTTTCCTTCTACCAGTCACTAATGATTGACTGCTCTTATTGAAGGAGGAATAAAGTGATCTTTGGTAAAATGTTCAAGAACTTATAGTTTATTATCCAAACATTGCTCTTTACACTCAAATATTTTACACTATAAACAAAACAGGAAACTATTATAGGCACACTTTTAGATGATGTAAGAGGGAGCTTTTTCAAGGGAACATATTCTTGTTTCTTCATATTTCTATCATTGCCAACAGTCACTGTCTTCCTTGAGAGACCCTACACAGCTTTTAACTTTCACCCATTAAAAGGTATTAGGGTGCATTGTTTTCTTCTTCTAACTTCATATACATTGTCTGTGTACACATTTTCTTTTCTCCATTAATATGGCTAAACAAAATTTGATGCTGTGTGGTTTCTACAGTAGGACTGTGATCACAGTGAGATGTAACAGAAAACAATATTACAGTCTGCAAAACCATTAAGCTCTTTACTCTCTTCTTAGTTCTAGGAACCTAAGATCTCATGCATGCCAGCAAGCCTCTACCATGGAGACACAACCTTGGTCAAACCTCTTCTTGCATGCCAGCAAGCCTCTACCATGGAGACACAACCTTGGTCAAACCTCTTCTT